GCCAACATCAGACGCTTCAGCATCATCGAACGCGAGCGCATCACCACCCGTCCCACACTCATCACCAAGCAACAGCGCAGATCCAGCCTCCTCAAGATCAGACAATTCGACCACGTCGCAAACGCTCAGTGTTGGTGCGCGCGCAGGAATCGGCGTCGGTGCAGGATTGATAGCTATATTGGTAGTACTTGTTACTCTATTAGCATGGAAGCTGAAGAGGAAAAGACGCCAGGAGCAGGCTGCGACCGTGGAGCTGCCGCCCAGCGCTATCGACGAGAAAAATCTGGAAGCGCAACACTATCCTTCGGTGGCGCCCAGCGAACTATATGGCGGGAATGCAGCCGTAGAGATGGGATGTAGGGAGCCGGCAGAGCTAGCAGGAACGCCAGGACGTCCGTATGGTCGCGATGATCCGAAGGTCGTCCTGCAGCCGTGAGAGTGGCATGGAGTTGTAATCGCATCACTTGATAACTTGCGCACGGCTATCTCACGTCAGTCAGAGTATAAGCAAGATCAAGGCGCAGAATGTCTAAATGAAACCAATGCATTTCGTTTACAAGCGCAGAATGAAATTGATGAGACCCTAAAATACACGCCGTCAAATGGATCGCAAGTGCACCTCGACCGATGCCATTATTTACCACCTCGCTTCCCAACTTCGAAGCCCTCGTTGTCCGTCCGTTCGAATAATACATGGAGACGTGAGACATGCCGCGCATGTGGGTATTGCGCGTCATATGCGTAGATTGCTGAACGGCTTTGCGTATCGATGCCGTTGCTTGTGTGTTGCAGTGTTGTATTGTCGTATCTGCAATCGAACGTGCGTAATCGTCTAGCAGTGGGCGTCGCTAGCCTTGGAGTTCATGAGCAGGGCAACAATGAGTCCGTAAAGACCTGGCATATGTTAGTGCGAGCTTCTTGTTGAGTTTCGAGCGACGTACCCAAAACTTCGGCGAAAATGAGAATCAAGATCATTCCGACGAACAACCTGGGCTGTTGGGCAGTTCCTCGTACACCAGCATCACCGACAATACCGATGGCGAAACCAGCGGCCATACCGGACAGACCGACGGCGAGACCGGCACCGAGCTGGATGAAGTTGGCGAAGAGCGAAGACTCTTGCGAGAGACCGTTGGAAATCAGGACGGACACGACGAGACCGTAGATACCAATAATACCCGCCATGACAACGGGAATAATGTCTGGAGTGTGTTAGCTGCGTGCTGGGCATTGCGACATCTCGCGAGCGGTTCATCACGTACTCTTGACGATCAGGTCAGGGCGGAGGACACCCATGGCTGACACACCAACACCGGCCTTCGCGGTTCCGTAGGCCGCGCCAAAGCAGGCGAAGACGATAGCTGACGTGCAGCCCATGGCGCCGAAGAAGGGCTAGTTGTTCATTAGCTATGACGATGGACGGGTCGACGCGGTGCTGTCGCGTCGGGAGGCGAAGCGGAGGTTGGTCCGAGGACTTACGGCATAGACGGGGCTGCATCCATCATGTTAGCTATTGTACGTATGAGGTGATAACGGAGAAGCTCCTCCGATGCTCATGCAACAGTCGCATGCCCAGCTTATCTCCAGAGAGGCAAGCTGGAGCTATCTGCATGCTCAACAAGGGAGCTCCGTGTTCACTCACCAAAGTTCGGAGACCATCTTTGCGGTGATGTATGTATTCGACGAGACGTCTAGAAGGGTGTCGAGATCTTTATTGAGATGGACGGGAGTCGTGGATGCGGCGACGGGGGCGGATGTGATGTCGAGGAGTGGTGACGATGGTTGGCGAAGAGCTGGACGTCGCTCGGTTTTGCCCTATACCTAGTTCGTCATTAGCGCCACACGTGAGGTGTGCCAAGTGATAATCCTAGCTACGAACTTTTTGATTTTCTCTATCCAAACTACCACAACCTTCACCACAAATTCAACCCGGGCGAGCAAGCAGTGTAAGTCGTTCCCCCACAAACAGCGTCGATCGTTCACACGAGCTTCGGTCACACATCTTTGCGTCGCATAGCTAACACCTTATAGGAATCCTCATTCGGACGAGCTTTAGCAGTGAACCCTTCCACCCACCACACCTCAACCTCCAACAAGATGGCCGAAGACAACAGCGCCGCCTGGCCCCAAGCCGACCAGGCTCTCTCCCAGGAGATCCTCGACCTCGTTCAACAGGCTACCCACTACCGTAAGAGACATACGAACCGCATGTGAGACAAAGACTAACTTCATGAATCTAGGCCAACTCAAGAAGGGAGCCAACGAGGCCACCAAGACCCTCAACCGTGGTATCAGCGAGTTAATCATCCTCGCGGCCGACACCTCCCCGCTCGCCATCCTCCTCCACTTGCCTCTCCTCTGCGAGGACAAGAACGTTCCCTACGTCTACGTCCCCTCTAAGATGGCCCTCGGCCGCGCTTGCGGTGTCGCCAGGCCCGTCATCGCTGCTAGCATCACGACCAACGAGGCTTCCGACCTCATGGGCCAGATCCGCACCCTCAAGGACAAGGTCGAGCGCCTCCAGATCTAGAATGATCTATACGGTCTTTATGCGCAAGAGAGAATGCAAGAGTTGGAAACTAGTTCCGCAATACTGGAAGGTTTACGTAGCGACAAGATGGCAGAGGCCTGGGATGGAATACGCCCATGGTCTCTGTACGTAGACCGAGAATGAAATGCCGAGCGCAAGTCGGCATCGACTCTGCCAAATCTGAAACACTCATCTATATATTCCTTCGTGCTATCGGAATGCCCGATCTTTTGATTGATACTACGTCTAGGTACTCCTTCAAGCCACACTCATAGAGCGGACTTGATATACTGTCGTAGATGGTCTTCACAACAGAACGAAGCCGGACCGTTGTGTTTGCGCGCGCGATGCAAGCCCAGAAATTGCGCTTTTCCCAAGCCTTTATACGTCGCCTCACAGCCGTCAACCCCACACTCAATGATACTCAGCGCCGGTGAACTCGTTGATGAGTCTGTGAGCGACCCTCGACTGCCACCTGCCTCTCCTCCTTCATCACTATTCTCCGGATCTTCGTTATCCTCTTGGTCTTCGCTGACGTGTGCAGGTACTGCAAACAGCGATAGTTCTTCCAGGTGTTTGCCCACGTGACGCCGCAACATCGTCAACGAAGAGACTTCAGCCAGACACAGCACACAGGTTGCCTTCGCAGTCATACTACGGTGCCTCTCACAGCTACGAACGAGTTGTCCAACACGATCTCCAATTGCAAGCGACGGATGCTCATGCGCGATGTGTTCCCGGAGACTAGAAGAAGACTGGAACGGCTTATCGCAACCATCGACGCACTGCCACCATTTTCGATGCATCTGAGTCTCATGACGGAACCACTCGTGTCTTGATTCGTATGTCCTGTCGGGCATTTCACAATCTTCCACGGTGCATAACTGCTGGCTGTTAGTCGGTCACACTGGAACGTCATGAGCAACTCACGTATGGCTGCAGGTCTCGGTAGACATGCTTCTGCCATGCTTTGACATGTCGAACTGCAGTGTAGCGGAAGCATAGTTTGCATACGAAAGGCTCGCCGTCACGGCCTTCCATCGGCAAGGGCGGTGGACGTAACTTCTCCGGATCATGACCGGAGGATGCATAAGAAGTGACAGACTGTGTTTCATCGTACTCGTCTTCCTCTTCAAGATCGGCAATATTGACGCTAGCCTTCACAGCTGGTGGCAAGGAAGATGCTACTGTACTCTCCACTTCACGATGCGCTCCCATGTCTGGAAGCGTGCCTCTTCTTGTTAGGCCTTGCTTGTACTTCTTCGAGTGATCATCGCGGTAACGTAGGTATTGTCGGCGACGCGAGATGGCTTTGCCCAGCCGGGCCGTGAGATATTCTGGCGCTTTGGGAAATTTTCCACGGACATGAGCGATGTCGAACGGTTCGTAATAAGCCGTATCTATGTGCGCGGATTCTTTGAATTGATCATGCGGAGCTGGATTTCGAATGGCGACTGACAGCCGCATGAGGCAGGCATTCGTCTCTTTCAGTTCAGCTGCAAGTTGGGCAAGCTCCGTTGTATCCGGCTTTTGAAGGCCATTGGCACTATCTTCCTCCGTATCTGACTCCGAATCAGACATAACTTCCCAGGATGGTCGCTGGCCCGTCACTATCTCCGACACCTCGTTCAAGACAGCCTTCATACCCTGGACAAGCTGAACAACTTGGTCACGTATGTGAGATGCTTCACGAAGCTTGTAGCCGAGAGAACCTCTTCCCGTACGATGCGCACCTACATTCGACGACCATAGCCTGAATCCACCAAATATATCTTTCAGGGTAGCTAGCGGGAGCTTGGTCTTTATGCTTGATTGGGCGCTTGAAAGCTTGTTGCACACTGCTTGGAAGTCTTTTAGGCAGTGGTGGACATTGAGTGCTACCAAAGAAAGATCGTCGGATTCCGTGACTTCCTCACGGGAAGATGCCGCTGCGACGAGCACTTCAGCTGCTTGGGTCGCCATGGTCGATGCTTCGTCTTGATGCGATACTCCACGTATGTTCGATTGTCAAAGATAAGTCGAGGGCTATTCCAGGAAACAGCACCGGATAATCGTTCGGAAGTGTATGGAGTTGCTACCAGCCAACTCTGATCGTCTAAAAACTCTGTGGGACGCGGTTCCTGCGGGTGACTTTCCGCGCATGTTTCGCGGTACTCAAAAGATCAAAACTCAGGCATCAGAGCAGTTCTGAATAGATTCGAGATAACGCAAGGAGTAAGATAATGAGGGGGTTGATAGTTCCCGTTGAGAAGCGTCCAGCCTGGGTGCTTCCGGGTAATACTGTTGCACGACAAACGTGGAAGTGGGGGCCACGTTTGCGGGCACCCATGCGCAGCGCAGCCTTGGAACGGCACAGCTGACCTCCACTGTCAATGACAACATCGATCTGGAACAGCAAGAAACAGTTGAGCAGCTTCACAAACCTTTTCGCTTCTGTTAAACTTACCGCGCGAGTCGCTTGCTCACCACAATGTCGGGCCTTGAGGTCGCTGGCATTGTGCTTGGAGCGTTGCCGCTTATTATCTCAGCCTTGGAGCACTATGCGCAGGGTGTCAGCACAGCCAAACGATTCTGGCACTTCAAATCCGAGTTGAGATTCTTGTTACTTCGAATCAACACGGAGAAGGTCACATTTGTCAACACCCTTGAGCATCTCCTTACAGGAATCGTCAGAATTGATAGAATGGCAGAGATGTTGGCGAATGTAGGCGGTCAGGATTGGCAGGACGAGACTATCGAACAGTGTTTGAAAGATAGGTTACGCGGCGCGTATGAGGTGTACTTGGCCAATGTGCAGGGAATGGCAGGAGCGCTACAAAAGATCATGGACAAACTAGCGCTGGGCCCTGACGGCAAGGTAAGTCATCATCCCTATTTTCTCATACCTAGTGCGGCGCGTATGGCATTGTGTTCTTGTCGACGCATGGGCTACAAAGCAAATGCCTCCGAACCCACTTTATGTACTTTTTCGCCGTTTGTTTATTGGCCCAGCCGTCGGTTCGCTTCAGTAATATCTTTTTCAGTGGGATGCCATGAACTGACTTGGGTTAGCCTCCTTTCTCAGACCTCAAGCTGTTCAAGAAAGAGTTCCAAAGACTGAAGTTTGGGCTTAGCAAATCGGAATACACGGAACAACTGAACGATCTGAAAACGCACAACCAGTATTTGTCCAACCTCACCAAGCAGTCCCTCGAACTGGAACCGTCGCGCAAAAAATCTAAATCAAGCCAGTGTCCCAACTTTCGTGTTCTACAAGAGTATGCACGCTCCTTGTACGAAACTCTGAAATCAGGATTGCGATGCGGTTGTAGTGGTCACGCAGTCAAGTTACGACTGGAAAGTCGGTGCCAGACTTCGCAGCAAGCAGAGGATTCACAAGATCATACGCCGTTTCGTGTCATATTCACAGACGAAAGTGTGGGAACATCGTCGCCGCGACCAATATCATGCAACTATTGGAAATGGACTGAAGCGGACATCCGGTACATCGCCGATAAGCCTGACAAGAAGCCGCCATACATGGACAGAGCTCTCACTTCGCCCAAGCCTCTAAAAACGGTCCGGTTCTTGCAGACTGAGACTCGATCGAGCAGCAGTAGCACTATCACGCTCGTCGAAAGCCCAGGTACATCTAACATGAGTCTTACGCCACCACACATAGAAGACCTGTGCAAAGCAGTCACAGCGTTTGGCGATACGAAACGCGAACTATGTATCGGCTACTTGGTCGACGACGTCAATCGAAAACACGGCATCTACCCACTGGATGTATCAAGCGGCTCTGATCAGCAACAATGGATAGCTTGTTCATTGCGGCAAGTGCTTACAAGGCATGCAAACGTCGCCAGGCCATTGCGACATCACGATAAACTTCGAATCGCGGTCAATCTGGCTTCAAGTGTGCTCCAACTCTACAGGACGCCTTGGCTGGACGAGCACTGGAGCGATAACGACGTCTACTTCATTCATCGCCCAGGAGTTCCGTTGTCTGCGCTCTACGATCATCCATTCGTATACCGCAAATTATCAACACCATGCACGACCCAGTCCGTAGGTCCCCAAAGAGCGGCTGGGAAAGTCATACGCAACCAGACTCTCTTCACGCTTGGGATATTGCTTATCGAACTTCTATACGACAAGCCAATCGAAGAACTTCGAATACCGCGAGACCAAGATTATGAAGGCACACCAGGGGTTGTTTGGTGTACGGTTGACCGGCTCGTCAAAGAAGAAATTGAACATGAAGCTTATCCACCTTACGTGGCCGCGGTCCGACGATGTATCTGGTGTGATTTCAATCGGAAAGAATCTAGCCTTGACGATGAGGCTTTCCAACAGGCAGTTTTTGAAGGGGTGGTGACGCCGCTAGAGCAGTTGCTCCAACAGTTTCTGCGTGGCGATTGATGAGATCTGCCTAGCTTTTCTTTCTCAGCTTATTCGCTCCTGCGAGTCGAGGGTAGCGCATCGAAAATCTCAAATACGCGAAAAAAGGCTGATGTGAACGATACAACGTCGATTGGCAGTCGTTTGAAATATGGAGTATGAGCGCATCACAGAATCCATGACCACCAGCAGAGTACCAGCTCTTATGAGGCAGTTCTTGCTGATGGTAATGTGACGACTGAAGCAGTGCCAAAGAAGCGATCTCGTGTTGGCCACGAGAGGGGTTCAAGAACATGCACACCCAGCGCGAGCAGGAGCCCGACCACTGAAACATGTCGTGTGATGTTCCTACTATCAACCCTAGAGAAAACAACGAGAGCGGACAAAAGGAGAAAAATGAGGCCGGGTGGTTCTGGTCAGGCTAGATGCCTGAAATGATGCACAAGACTGCGGAGAGGTATAGGCATGACATGGCATTTCTCGCATTTCTCCGGAGTAGCTTTTGAATAGGCGTTCAGGTCAGGCTAGATTGCTCGAATGATGCAAAGAACTGCGGAGTATTATGGGCATGGTATGATTTTGAACACGTTAGTTCTTGGAAAGGCGTTCTGGTCAAACATCTCAGTACCACATACCCCGCTCAACACCACCGTCTCCATCTTTTCCCAGGGGTAGCGTATTCCCCGTGGGGATCTTCCCCAGATTCCATGTCAAATCCTTCGACTTTCGTGGTCACGATTTCACATGTCTTTGCCCGTGCTGTCAACCGATTGGTGGCGGCCATAAGCTCTGGCTAGTAGCTTGGTATTTCCGAAGTTCTCGCCGGAATTCATGGATATTTCCAAGGCTCGAACAGGCCAGACCCACTCATGGTCTTTTTTCCAGAGAGGAACGCAGTCGAGAGTGGAGCTTTCGTGGTTCCTGACAATCAAAATAAGCTTTCGCATTCGTCTATAGGACCCGACGCAGCGGGCGCTAAATTCGACACCGAGGCTCCGAGCTTGCGTATGAATGGCCGTACCTGTCCGATGGTAGAACTTGGCCGTCACGACCAATCGGCATGCCTTTAGTCGGGCTCGTAAATAGAAGGCAACCAATCGGCCAGTCGTTAGTCGACCATGCTCGTGTAGCTTTCGAGATGCTCATGTGACGACATGAACGGAATTTGACACCTAAGGCCAGAGGTTGTTGTTTAGGTGTTTGAACAGGAAGGGGAGAGATGGACATATAAGGCGAATGTTCTTGCGCACATTAAGACATCGCTATCATCACATTCTCGCACGTATCGCATCCCATTCACTCCAACATGAGGGCTTCTGCCATCAAGGTCGCGCTTTTTGCGCTGGTCGGACTCACTGCTGCCGCTCCCAGACCTGGTCTACTTGGTTCACTCCTTGGAGCTGGAGGCAGCGCCCCCATCCCTCCCTCTGATGATCCATTCTACACACCACCTGCTGGCTTCGAGTCTGCAAAACCTGGTGCTATCTTGAGAAGCCGACCAGTACCCAGCGCCCTCTCGCTGTTTCAAACCATTCCTCTCAACTTGAAGGGTGCCTGGCAACTGCTCTACAGGACCACTGACTCGCTCGGAAACCCGGTGGCCACAGTCACCACGGTGATGGTGCCAAAGAACGCGGATTCAAAGAAGCTGCTCTCTTACCAGGTCGCTGAAGACAGCGGTGGTGAGATCAACTGCGCACCATCTTACACGCTCCAAACAAAGTCCAACACCACATATGCCGGAACAGGAGGTATTGAAGCCGCCCTCATTGCTGCCTCGCTCAACCAGGGCTGGATCGTCAACTCGCCGGATTGGGAGGGACCCAAGTCCACTTTCGTCGCTGGATTCCAAGCAGGCTACGCAACCCTCGATGGCATTCGTGCGGCGCTCGCTTCCGGCGCCACCACCGGCGTCGACTCTTCTGCAAAGGTCCAGATGTGGGGATATAGTGGAGGCGCTTTGGCTTCCGAATGGGCCGCCGAACTCCAAGCCAACTACGCCCCAGAGATCCCCTTTGTTGGCATGGCCATCGGCGGTGTGACTCCCAACGTCGAAAATGTTTTCAACACCATCAACAAGGGACTCTTCGCTGGTCTCAGTGCTGCCGGCTTCTTGGGCTTGGGAAACGCGTATCCTGATTTCGGAAAGTATGTCCAAGACAGCCTCAAGCCAGAGAAGGCTGATGCTTTCAACCAAGCTGGTCGCCAGTGCTTCTACGCTGATGTGAAGACGTACGCGGGACAGGATATCTTCACGTACTTCAAGCAAGGACAGGCGGTCTTCGATGGTATGTACCCCTTGTGAGAAATGTTAATTCTGACGATGACACTGACTTACAAATCTTCACAGACCCTATCGCGGAAAACACCATCAGGACCGGAGCGACCATGGGTCTTCACGGCACTCCATCCATGCCGATCTTCGTATACAAGGCCGTCAAGGACGAGATCTCGCCCATCGCCGACACTGATGCGCTCGTGGACCAGTTCTGCAAGGCGGGTGTTTCCATCACATACGTCCGAGACTCTTTCGGCGAGCACTTCACCCAGGCCGCGACCAGCACCGGCGATGTTCTCAACTACCTCACCGACAGGTTCAACGGTGTTCCTATCTCGGGCTGCAGCATCCGCAACGAGTTCTTGGATCTTCTGGATGCTGGCTCGCCTGGAAAGCTTGGTATTTCGCTTGTCATGGTCCTTTTGAACGCTTTGGGCGTTCCGCTTGGTCCTAACCACTTCTAGTGGTAGACTACGAGCTGTATGAGGATGAAAGTGGGTATTGATAATTGTGGTATCTTCTGTAGCTAGCGGTAAGACTCATTTGTAGGATTGCTCGCTAGTTTCTCGCAGCTTAGTAGCTGTAGAGCCTTTTATCAATGTTGAGAGAGCGATTTACTAGCAACACCTGGTTCCGTTCCACATCATTTCAGTGCACTGTTCGCTCGATTATGCTGAGCGTTGAGAGAATTGACGGTCTCTCGTTAACGTTCAACTGTTCATTGAGAACAGTGCGCTACCGACTAGATGTTGGCTTCCAGTGATGAGAGTCTGCATGCCACCAGCTTCCGTCCCTATCTCTCTAGCAGCATCCAAAGCCTTCTCTACGCTTAGTTCGTAAACTATGCGGCTATCCTGGTGGTATCTCGACCATATCTCGCCGAACGCCTGCTGCAAGGCATCTTCCGACCCATCAACCACAGCTGTGTCGCAGTTAGTGGGCGAACTTTATAAGGACAAGGAGAACTTTACCTGCTAGAGAGTCCAAGTCCTGCTGTGGATCGTAAAGAGTGAAGATGACATGATCGATATGAATAGGGCTGAGGGTAGTGGCCAGTCGTTCGAGGACTAGTCTCGCATCTCTCTGTTTCGATACTTGGCTGAAGACCAAGATGCGTACGGGTAATAAACTACTAGCATCAAATTAGCGGGGATATGTGACCTGGCTGGTCACGCACTTCTCTCCCTGGGAGCTCTCGATGAACCATTCCACTGCCTTGATAACGCTCATCTCGTTGTGCGCACCGTCCAGAAACCAGCTTAATACCCCATCGACAATGATTTGAAAGCGCCCAGGCCATGTAAATTGGCTTATAGCCTGCGAAATATCCACATCCGATAATAACGGAGTATTTTTGGGAGCTCTATCTCTGAGGAGACAGCGTGCAGCAGCAAGCGCAACCGAACAATTCGTACGCTGAACATCTGGCTTCAGCTGCGGCACATGTACTGGAAGCTCCGGATCATTTCCGATAAACTGGATGTTGATGCCTTTCTCCGATGCGCGATTCCGGAGAATATCAGCAGCGGACGGTTCCTGGGGGGACGAGAAAGCATAGGCTCCGCGCTTCAAGATTCCTGATTTATGCCAGGCGATGTCTTTGATAGTGGGTCCTAATTGCTGGATGTGATCCATGCCAAGGGTGGTTATCACGGTTGCGACTGGATGCTCTATGCCGTTAGTAGCATCATATTCCCCTCCGTGGTGAGTCTCGAATACCGCTGCCTCTACGCCTTCTTTGATGAACGCGTGAAACGAAACTAGAGTAAAGAGCTGGAGATAACGAGGCAACTTGTCCGAGTCTCTCGATAAGATATCCCACACTTCAAAGAAGTACCTGGCGAAGAGCTCCCTGGTCAAGGGCTGGAAATTGATTCGTATCCTTTCTCCAGGGTAAATGAGATGCGGCGAAGTGTATAGACCTGTTTTCCGTGGCCATCCGGTCCTTTCCCCGTAAGCTCGAAGAATTGACTCGATAAAGGCACATGTACTGTCTTTGCCCTTAGTGCCGGCGACGTGAATGATGTTGAGGTCGTCGATTTCGGCAGTCTTTGTTTGTCAGTACAGCTCCAGAGACTGCTCACGAGGCATACCGAGTGACCGATCTGCTGTAGCCATTGCTTCATTCCGACTATACTCGG